TATATATATATATATACACACCATTATAGTTTTTTTCCATTCCTTGATTCCCAGCTAACCAAAGGTAAGTCAAGGAATTGGGTTAACAGTAGGGATGGACCAGGCCTCACCCTGAGCGTTGACCAGGAACTCTCCGTAGGAATCCTGGACAAAGATTCGGCTTTAACAATAGCAAGATATAGCAAGTAATGACGTGCAAGAGATGCAACCATAGAGCTGGAGACTAAGATTGAAGTTCACAGCCCTGCAGACACCTTGGCGCCGTTGGAAGGATTGCGGGTGAAGGCAACTCCCGTTGCGCAGTCGCTGCCCATGTTGCCGAAGACCATCGCCTGAACGTTCACGGCCGTGCCCCACTCCTGGCAGGGTGCAAAGGGCAAAAGCAGATTTAATCCTAGAGCAGCACGGGACAAGAGCGCAATCACCTCCCAGGGCGGATACCGTGTCCAAAGACGAGCCAAATTCCTCTTAGTCCGCCGCAAGAACTTCCGTACAAAACTCATGAGAACACCTTCCGTCAACACTATCCTCTCACCAGAAGCGTCCTCCGGGATGTCATGCAGCTTCCGGTAGGTCTTGGCCCTCTGGTTCATCCAGGAGCCAAAAACAGCGCCCACAGCACCCCAGAGTTGCTGTTGCGGATCCTCAGGGTTCTGCTGTTGGAGAGGCAGCTCGCCTTCCGCTGACTGGAGAACGCTGGAGAATGGATGACAGGAAGGGATGTTCCCAATAACATGGGAACGACAGAGATACATCGCCTCCATCCTTGGAAGACCACTCGGATTGTAGGAACCCCTGTGCTCAACGCCCTTTTCAGGAGCTCCGCTTGCAGGCGCTTCACTGGCACTTCAACGGACAATTTCTGTGAAGAGCATGGACCCCAAATCATGAAGCCTCATCCCTACGCCCTTGGCCCTTAACCTGGAGGCTCAAACAGCCCCCGAACTCCTCCGGGAACTCCTCCCCGAGCTGCAGATAAACACAAGCCTCGCATGAGCGCAGGCTTTGTCAGGCAGGGCACGTTTGAAGGAAGTTAGCAAATACCCCTCCCCCTGAACGAACCCCCCATCCCACTAACAACAAATATTCCAAGTGTTGTAGCGTTAAATGGCTGGAAAGCTTAGCATGAGAGTGGTTGGAATGGTATGAATAGGAGGACGAGATCTAATCATCATAACCATCATCATCATCATCATCACCATCACCATCATCACCATCACCAGCTTCATCATTGTTGTGAGTTTTGCTGTGCGGAAGACAGCCTTGTAGTCCTTGACCAGCTGCTCCAAGTCCTTTGGCTGGAGCTCGTGGTCTTGCGTCACCTGGACTCTCTTTGGTGACTAGTAGGGAATTATCGAATATACTCTCCAGGATTATCATCTCTCTTCGCTACTAACTAACCCCCAATAAGTCTTGCTACGATCGTCACCTGCAATCACTATCTCTAGAGGGCCACTGTTCTCGTTTTGTAATCATTCTTGGGGATTTCCCATGTGCTGGTACTATGCAAACATCATTTCTCTACCCTGCGAAATCCCCGCCTCCCGGCCCCCTGGATACATTCAAGTCCAAGCTACTGATTCTTAATCCTTTTGCTTGTCTCTGTTTGGAGCCCTTGTCATCGCCTCCGTTCTCGACCTAAACCTGGTTCTCTCCTGGGCACATCGGCTGGCTCTACTAGATAGATGCCTTGTCCGAATATTTCAGTTGGCCCCCGGATCTCTGTCCCCTGAGCCGAGCGACACCTCGCTTCTTCTTGGACCTCTCCAAAAGCTTCTCGAAGTTGTGCAGCTCGATGCCAAGCACCACATCTCAGGGTCCGGTGCTTTGCTGCGGAACGCTGGCTTATAAGATGGCGTGTGCATGACAGAAGCGGCGGCAGCAACAGCAGCAGCACAAACAGGAATCGTAGTTGGTCCTTACACAGCTGCTCCTTGCTTCAAAGTGAGGTGCAGCTGGATCGCTTCAGGCATGTTGTTTAGACCATCTGCCCTCGAGTGTACATACCATGACATATCTGGAACCGACAGCTTTGCCTGTGGCAATGCATAAAAAATCCTGTGACAGCCTAGACCGTAGCGCTAACCGCCCACACAGCCCACCCAGGGCTTGTGTGCCTGAGTACATCTGCACAAAGCGGCGATAGCTGTCAAAAGCAAAACGCCGGTCTCCGGACTGCTTGGCAAGCGCCTGCGAACTTTGGGGATTACGGCTCAGGGTCCTGAGTGATTCTGGTATGGCCAGTGACTCTACTTCTAGCCCGTTTGCCAGAGCAGCAACATTTGGCTTTGGGAGTTCTACTCACATTGCAATCTGCTACCATCCTCGCTTCTCAGCGTTGCTCGGCCTCCGTGAGACTAGGTCAATGCATTTGCACGGGACACCATCTAAGTGGAACAGGGGACACGCAAGGCCGAAACCAGGCCCCTCTTGGAAAGGCACCTAAACCCAGCATCCCCAGCCCAGTGAACTGCTTCAAAATCATGCCAGCTTGTTATCCACCATGCATGGGCTTGGAAATGGAAAGCATTCCCCAATACGATAACCTCAAAGGAAGCTTGAAAGGACACGACTGGACCACCTCCGCCGTCGCGTCATTCAGGCCCAAGTTCAGAACCTGAGACCATGTGGGGTTTTGGGTTGCAATTGCTTCTTGGATGCTACCCGGCAGCCAGCGGCCCTCAGTAGGCCATTCTAGCCTCACCTCCACCTTTAGTGGTTTGTGACAGGTTGTAAAATTTTTAAGGAAGTTCAGCGGATACCTAGTCCACCCGACAACAGCCCGTCGTAATCCCCCGCGTGCCGCGTGCATGGGTACCAACTCACGTCCGGGCCCAAAAAATCCTGAAAGCAGGGGAAAAACTCAAATTACCGTGGCCATTTCATCGCTAGAGAACTCCCACTGCCGCAGTTTGGAGCCTTGCCTGAGGCGACATCCCTCCCAGCCTCTGAGGGTTCTTCGAAAACGCCTTTGCCCCACTTGGAGTTCAAACTGGTCATGCCGCTGAGCCCCGACAACATCAAAGCTCGGGGGAAGGGCCGTGGGGAGGGTTTATACTGGTGCTCCGGTGGCAAGCGGCATTCTGCAGTGCCAGCATGCCACGCGGCTTCATCCTTCTGCCGCTGGCATGCCAGTATGAGCCAAAATCTTGCACTACATTCGGGTCGAGAGTGTCCCTGTTCCAGACATTACTGTATGTGAAGATCAACCTTGCTTGGAGCCGGCAAGCTGGTTCAGATTTTGGGCTTGGGGTTCAGTGTTGTTTCCGCATTGTCCCATCGAAATGTCCTGCAAGTTCAGAGCATAGTCAGGTAGCAAATTCGAGCCCATAAAAACTGCAAAACTTCATCCAATGAGCCCATAACTAAACCCACTAGCTCTGTTAGGCAGCCATGCGGCAGTGTCCATCATCCCAGGCATGGAGGCCCGCGCGCCGGAGCGCACCGAAACAAGCAAGGGATTCGTGGCATCTCCGAACTTGCGCCCGGTCCTCCCACAAGGCGTCGGCAGGGCTTTAGGGTGCTGGGGGCAAACACACCCTAGTGTCACCCTGAAATCACAATAAAGTGCAAATCGTCCTAGTCCGCTCGACTCCTCCCCAATGCAACCCTGCAACCCTGTCTTTTGCAAGTCTTTCCAATCTTAGGAAACCTGAAGCCAATCGGGGGGTAAAGGGCCTCATCATGCGGATTCTTCTTGTCTCCTTCTTTGGAGAAACTCCCACCTGGCCTTGTTTCAACCAGAGCCAAGGCCTTTGTCACCTGCTCCTTGAGGTCAGCAGGATACTGGCCTTGCCGAGAGATGACGTGCAGGAGGATGATCTACTGATAACAACAGGAATACAAGTTAAAAAGCAACATGAGCTGGCTTCGCAACAGGAGTCAATTGCGTGTCAACACCTGCTGTCTGGTCTTCTCTGCATCTGGACTTTCAACGTTGCCTTCCTCTTCTCTCCTTGAAAGCTCCAACGGGCTGGTTTACTGCCAAGGCGCAGTCGTTCTGGTAGTAATACGTGCAGACCTCAGACAAAGCAAGCTACTGCCTCAACAAAACAACATGCATCTGAAGGCTGTTCGATCATACTGTTTTTCGGACTACTGAGATGTTGGCTCTAGTTGACTGTCACGAGGTCAGAGGGACCACCGAAAAGGAACCCAGATACAGTTAGCTGGACAATGCTGATGGAGGGAAAATTAGGGTATACCGCATAGACACTCCCATGTGTCATGTCCGCCAACTGCCGAAATCTGAACCCCTAAGCCCTAAACCCTTGACACCTTACCGGAAACCTAAATCCTAAACCTCCCCTTGTGGCCTCCGTCGTCAAAGTGAAGCCAGGCGGAACAGGAAGCCCGATCGAGGCCATCTGGCCAAGAATGCGCAGGGGCAATATTTAGGGTTTAGGGTTTAATGGGAACTACCTGGACACGTAGGGGATATGGGGTATACGGTATACAGTATACAAGGTAGTGGGACTAGTCTCTCACCATTTTCCTATCTAGAAGCACAAGAGTGTGGGGTCTCCAGCCGGCACATCACATAATCATCTTACCTCAACGGGACTCCAATGCTGAGGGCTTGGGCTTCAAAAGGCACGTTCCTCAGGAAGGAAAGGATTCTGCGACTATGCCTCGAGCGGGAACACCCCAAATCAGCAGAAGCATTGATTACGAAAACTGGGACGATGATGGTGATTTTGACACCCAGCCATTGCCATCATGTTTGCCAACTATCTTTGGATATTTTGGGGGGCCTTGTGCCGCTTAGTGCTGAAAACGAATCGCTCGCTGTGCCATCTCCTTGTCACAATGGCTTGTGCCAAAATATCTACCAATGTCGGCCCTGAATCCTGAAACCTAAACCTCCCACAATAGGCAAGCCAAAACCAGAAACCTTACATAATCCCACGAAAACCATTTCCCCATGAACCTCACATGCCAACATCCTAAATCCTACAACCCCAATGCCTAAAAATGTAAATCCTACAACCTTAGATCCGTTTTTGAGCAGGGACTGCAATGCACTAAGCCTTGAATCCCTTCAGCCAAGCTCCTAGATCCTAAACATCGAAACTGTGTGTCTCTAAGTCCCTAAAGGGCTCTTGAGCACCTCTGCAAGGTTGGCACCCTTGCCGCCCAGGAGGTTCCTGAGAGATGGTGCGGGAAGGTGCTGATCGTTGTGGGCTTTACCCCTAAACCCTAAACCCTAAACCGTTTTAGGGGGAGGACTGAGGTTCAGGCGTTTGGGGTTTAGGCTTTAAGAGCTCAGGTGTGTAGAGTGTAGCATTAGGACTCAGGGTTTAAAGCTTAGGGTTGAAGCAAGATGCGGCTTAGGTGAGGGCACTGTCAGGTGATCTCACTATTTAGCTTCACTGGTTCAAGCCAGGACCATCCCCCCAGATCCAATCCCCATTCCGTTCCAAGTAACCGAATCCCGAGATGATCCCTTGCAATACCTGAACTGGAGGCTTGGCATTCATGACAAACCAATATTGCCCCTATCATTAATTATCTGTGCTCGTGCCGCCATGAGGAGTTCTTGTTGCTCTCCTCCTTGCAATGGCTGTGATCATGCTTCTGGACATCATTCTTCTTCGTATTGTCGCTGCAGGCGGGACCCCCTAAACCCTAAACCCTAAGCCCTAAACCCTAAACCAGTATCATACTTGCATCTAGCCGGAGCGCTTCATCTCCGCTCGACCGTCTGCATTCCCAGAGCCGAAGTTGTAGACCCAGGTCATGACGAAGAGGCGCAAGAGAGAGCACGTGGTGAGGGGTGGAGCTGAAAGCCAATTGCTTGCAGAGATGGCACAATGAGTATGTGGATATCTTCAAGGATAGAGGCTTGCTTCTTTGTTTTACCCCTTAGTTACTACAATCCTACTGAGTTGGACTCCCAAGGCAAGATCCGATGTTGTGGAAGCCACGTGTATGA